AATTTTACAATTTTATTGTTTAGCTGGGCAAAAGTTAAACATGATTTCCTTATTTCCATTTCTCCAAAAATGTTTGGGGTGTCTTCAAGCCCTTTTTTATACAATTCTTTTTGTATTTCCTTTTAACGCGTTGGGCACAAAACATAAATTTCGTTGGTTCCTGTTTTCGTCTTTATTTGTTTCTATCTCTCTTTCTCACACCTCTCTGTCTCTCTCACCTGCTTTGTGGTTCTTTGTATGTTGCGGCGGCATCGCCCGCTGAACAGTTTGAGAATCACTGCGGCGCCCCTTCCTCACCCCCAGCGCACGGAAAACTTTTTTCTCTTTTGCAAATGAGATTTCGTTCAGTTGCCTTGATAAATTGTTGATAGCTTTGAATGTGTTTACATTGATGCATGCTTGGAATGTGATGCGGAAATGGAGGAACTGCGTGGGTCTAGGCTGTTGTGTGTGCGGGAGTTTTTGTGGTGTCTGCAATACACTTGAGAAAGAAATGCTTGAGCGTTCAAACTGTGGAATTTATTTTCAGGACTCTTTTGTAAAATATTTCTCGCTTTTAATCCACAAGTGCAACGACCTAAATTCAAAAATTATGCAAAAGAATGTTGGTAAGAGTTAAGAAACCGACCTTTGTAAGTGCTTATGATAAAAGCGAGTCCTTTTGCTAAAGTTAAGGTAAATGAAATTTAAATTTGAGTAAAAATGGTATGAATATTTTTGTGCACAAACTGCAAAGGCTTTTCAAATGTGTGGTTTTTAAAACATAAGCTTGAAAACTCCTCTTTTTAGTTTAGTTGAGTTTAGTTTCAATTACCGTGATTGAATTATATCTTTGTACTATAGTTTTTCCATGAAGTGTGTTATGTGTAGGAGCTCAATAAAATATATATATTCCGCCTGTCTGTTTCTATACGAACTAGTTTATCAGTTTTCAAGCCGGCCGGATCGGACCATATAGTCATGTAGTTGTCATAAGAACGATCAATAAACGGTCGGAAAGCAGTTTCTTGTATGAAAAACTTTTGTTTTAATTTATATTTAGAACAAACTCATAAATGCAAAAACATATGTCCACATCCGTATCAACAGCGGGCCATTGTATCACATATCTGCCATAGGAACGTTCGGTCGAATTATGTTCCTATATGACTAAGTTTTTAGTTTATCAAGGTATTTGGACTAAACCCAGCACTTACTGGTTTAACTCTGCTACTTATATATCAGTTAACTCTTAACAATCGAAAAATGATGTTTGTCTTAAATATATTTCAATCAAACTCTACACATACGAGCTTCATAATTCTCACATATTTGCAAAACCGCGAGCAAATTTTTTAAAGGGTTATTAAATATTTGGCGTGCTGAAGATATTCGTACCGTTCTCATATATTCTATTTTTTATATGAATATTTTGATACGAAAAATGCAACGACTGATTAATTTCGTAACTTGCTTATTTAATAAGCGAATATTTTTTAAAAAGTCGCGATTAGTGTGCATGTTTAAAGTAGCTATAATGATGAGAACATTACGAACAACTCTTAAATGCGAATACGAAATGAGAAAAATGTTAATGAAAGGCGGTCAGTTAGTGAAAAAATTTTTGTGAAAATTATGCGCTTATATTAGCAACAGCAGCTACAACGTCTAGAAAGCAACGTTAAAACAAAATCAACTGAAATCCAATTAAAAGTTAAACGCCGCACCGAGCAAGACCAAAAAGTCAAGATGGTGCAACTTGAAATGTTAAATTTTTCAGAACTGTGGCCTGTGCCGTGCAAGTGGCGTCCGTGGTCAAGTTGAAGGCTTTCCGCTAGAAGAGCAGGGAAGGGGATGGGTGAGCATATTATAAATAACAGCCAAACACGCAAACAGTTTGTGCAAGTTTATTTGCCAGGTGAAATCTTTTTGAACCCAGCTACCAGCTACCCCGAACGAGTTAACGTAGCGTCCCGTTGGCCCTGTTGGCCTCGATTGCGTGCCAAGCTCGGCCAGGATAACAGCACAAATAAGGCAAAATTTGCGCCAAAATGCAGGCACAAGAACATTGAGAAAAGGAAGTAGTGATGCTGGCTGGCAAAAAAGCTAGTTTTAGAGGGAAAATACAGAAAAATTAGCTAAATATTTGCTTAAGAGCCGAAAATAATGCAATAGAGGAATTTTCTGGTGGAATGTGGTAAATGAATATGTGCAATATATATACCTAATAAGGTATATATTCTTAATCAGTATTAACAGCCGAATCCCCCACCAGTCTCTCAATTTGACAGCTTTCATCAGGAAACTTTGCATAGGCATAAGTCTGTTTTTCGCAGGCATTACATATAGTGGAACAGGCTGGTTCGGACTACTGTACGATACTGTAAGAATAATCAGTCGAATGCGAAGTTGTTGCTTGATAAACTATTTTGTTTTTCACCATATATTTACCTTACTTACAAGCGTTAAGTATGTCGGACATATATTTACATGTATGCAAAGTATTATCAACTTTGGATTTCTATATCATATATATATATGTGAGAAATTTTGAAAGCCTTAGTGGGAAATTTAAAGTGTTTTTTTCTTTTTAAACAAACTCAGACTATAATCGGTCATAAATAAAGTTTTTGTGTGAAATAATTTCTAATTCCAAAAAAAAAGAAGATCTGCCAGCACAGCTGCAGAACAACAAGAACAAATTTGATTAAGTTTCTATGCCTTTGGCTGGCTTTAAGTTGAGCAATGAGCGTGGAAGCCAGCAAATTAACTAAGAAAACTTCTTCTGGCGGCCAAAAGACTGGGCCGAGAAGGAGCCCAAAGGCCGAGCAACGTGCCTTGGTTTACTGAAATAAAGACGCTGCAAAGCATGCTACACAAAATATATACCCAGGCACGTGCGCCATTTTGAATACAACGGACCAACAAGCCAAAGACGGTATTTTCGTTAGTGTTTTTGGGAGTGCAGAAGGGGATGTTGCGGTCAGGTGGGCAACGCCTTTATGATTATTGTCTTAAAATTAATCAATGTGTGCGTGTCTGCAGCGGAAGAAGTTTACAGCCTAATAGATTCCTGGAAGAGCAACCCGCCACTCGCCCCGAAAATTAATAGACTCTGAAGCTTAGTTCGAAAAGTTTATGTATTCATGCTTGAAATTAATTAGATTAAGGGCCATATTTACGGCTGTTGAACAAAATTTTTACAAATTCAGACCATACCCGCTGCAAGTGTGGCCCTGAATTGGCTAAAACTGTTTGCTTTGACCAAAAACTTGCATTTCTCACAGACAATTTCTTTCATTTGCCACCTGGTCTTGTGGAACAAACTTGTTTTATGATTTGTGGACTTAAAGAGGGTCAAATTCCACAAAGGATGTTTTTCTTCTTGTTGCTATTACAGTTGTTGTTCAAGTCGTACGCATAATGATGTTGATGCCAGCTGGCGATTCACATTGTTGTTTCCAATGATGTTGTTGGCGTTGTTTTTGCTGCTTTCTTCAGTTGTTATGGTAACGACATGTTTTTGCTGTTCCAGGCCTTAGAATATGTACTTTCAAGCTAAACTCCGGCATCTGTACATATTTTTATAGATATAGACTAAGCAGATGTCTGAAATGTTCATATAGGTTTGATTTGTGTGTCTGACTGAACGGTGTCAACTGCACAAGTCAAACTGTGAAGGTGAAAAGCTGCAATTTTTATTAAAAGTGCACAACGGGAGGTATTAATAATATTGATATTATTATTGTGCTTGGCAAACGTGACGGATTGAGACTGCGGCTTAGGTGCGAGAGTCGGACTAAGAAACGAAGTTTGTATTGCTATTGCTATTGAAAATGACTAATAGGTGTATAATGGAATTAAGAACATGATTATAACAGACAGAAGAAAGCATTTGTCCGTACGTATGATCGCTTCGGTATCAGAATCTAAACGTGGAGACTTAAAGCTTTGAAAGTAGGTTCTCCTAGTGCTTGATTCCGTGTTTGATTCCGATAATCGATAACGATCAAAATCAATATCGAAATCCAGTTTTTTTTTTGCAAGAAAAAATCATTAATAATAAATTTTGTTTTCTTTTGTAAATGTTTATTATATTAAATGTTTATTATATTATAGGTTGAGGGTTCGGGCTCATGAGAAGTCGGAAGAATTTATATTTATTATTTCAAAATAGCAAATGTGTAGATGAGGCGAAATAAAGTACACAGGCAACTAAAGCTGTTATGATGTAACATTTTAATAAGGCAGTCTCGCCGGGAAAGCTAGGCATGTGTATTAACGTAAGGTACTTCAAAAAATGTTTTGGCTACCCCAAAAATATCTAAAAAAATTGCATAGTTTTTTGTCTTAAATTTAATTTAGAGCAAAAAGCGCATCCAGTGATAGATGCTTTCTAACTTATTAACGTGTGTACAAAAATCAAACCAATAAATATATATTATTTATTCATAATTCATTATTAAAATTGCAAAGCAGTGTCAAAAAATTGTACAAGCCCATGCTTAGTTTAATGAATGTGAAAAAGCAGATTTACAACCTGGCAAAGGAGGCAACTGGTCGAATTATGAATAGAGCTACTGACAATGTCTTTCTGTTTCTAGCCATGATATAAAATATTTTCATCATGTTTTAATAAAAAACGTGTAACAGGTTTATATAAAAATATATTTTGAAAAGCAAACGACTGAAAATACTTCGTTCCCACAACACTGTTGTGGCAACAGAAATTTGCAGCAATATTATAAATGAATTTTTTTGCAACTTAATTTTTGTGGTCAGTAAAAACATTCTTTTTTTTTTAAATATGAATAATTTCCGGTCATCAACGTTCTCAGTTCTTTTGATGACGATAAATGAACGCAATACAATAGAATTCAAATTTGCAACGAGCTTATAAATAAATTGCATAAAATTCAATCTGTAATTCGTTACATGTCCGCACAAGAGTATTTATATAAATAATGTTTGAATCTTTTAAATACTTTTTATTAACTTTTATTGTAAGTTTATTCAAATCAAGTTAGTATTGAGTAACTTGAGGTGAAAGGAAAACAGCTCTCTTTCAGTTTATTTTTTTTTGCTGTGCGCTTTCCCAGCCGATTCGCTGGATCGCAACAGTATCGAGTGACACAATTGAGACACTTATAATGGGTGATGTTGACAAATGGATTGAGATAGTGGAGAAGTGTCAGTATTTGCCAGAGAATGAATTGGGTAAGCTGTGTAAGATGATATGCGACATACTCCTCGAGGAGGCCAACGTGCAGCCCGTGAGCACGCCCGTCACAGTATGTGGGGATATACATGGTCAGTTCTACGACTTGCAGAAGCTATTTAGCACCGGCGGTGAAGTACCCGATACGAATTATATATTCATGGGCGATTTTGTAGATCGCGGCTACTATAGCCTGGAGACATTCACCAGGCTGCTTACGCTGAAGGCGCGTTATCCCAGCCAGATAACTCTGCTGCGTGGCAACCATGAAACGCGCCAGATCACCAAGGTCTATGGATTCTTTGACGAGTGCTTCAGCAAGTACGGCAATGCGAATGGCTGGAAGTACTGCTGCAACGTCTTCGATCTGCTCACTATCGCTGCGATCATCGACGAGCAGGTGCTCTGCGTGCATGGCGGACTGAGTCCCGAGATTGTGACACTGGATCAAATACGCACAATTGATCGCAATGGCGAAATACCCTATAAAGGCGCATTCTGCGATCTGGTCTGGTCCGACCCGGAAGATATTGAGGCCTGGGATCAGAGTCCGCGCGGTGCCGGCTGGCTTTTTGGCCACAAGGTTACCAACGACTTTATGACCATCAATAATCTCAGTTTGATCTGTCGCGCCCATCAGCTGGTCGATGATGGCCTCAAGTATATGTTCGATGAAAAATTGGTCACAGTGTGGTCCGCGCCCAACTATTGCTATCGTTGCGGCAATGTAGCGGCCATTCTAAGTTTTAAAACAGCTCAGGAGCGTTTTGCACACATATTTCTGGCTGTGCCCGATGCAGAGCGCGTCATACCAAAACGCAATGCCACGCCCTATTTTTTGTAATAAACAGCCAATAAAACAAATGAAAGCGCCCCCTTTCCTCGTAGGAATGCATTTAGTAGTCAAATAAACCCCATCTCATGCACAAAACACGCTAAACCAACAGATATCAGAAATAAATGTTATGTTTTGGTCCATGATAATCAATTCAAGCACAATGTTTATTGAGCTTCAAGCACTTGTTGGACTTGCTTGAATAGATTCTTTCTCCCTGTTTTCCAATCAACCAAATCATATACAAGAAACAACAAACAACAGAAAAAAAGTAGACTAATTTTCGATAGTTCAAAGTCTGTGCACAATTGCTTTTGTCGGAACTGTGCAGAAACTGAGAAACAATAATAAGGTATATAAACAAAGGCCTAGAGGTTCCAAAAGTATTCAATAAGTTAATTGGAAAAATTTCTTTTAAGTCAGCAATTAAAAATTCACATATGTCAACTGTACAATGTCATATTGCTCCATTTAAAATGAGCCAATCGAACAGGTATACAAATTAATATATATATATTATAAAAAATAATATAATTATATTTATATAAAATAACCATAGAAACAACTTGTAAATAACTTATAGGTTGACAACGTTCTGTAAAGCTCGAAAATAAATTCGGTTAAGAGATTACACTGCTGCATTTATAAATTTGTCTCATGCTAGCAAGCGTATTTAATTCTCGATAAGCCGCAAATAAATATCCCTTTCATTATTGAATAAATGAAAGCAAATTGAATGGCTTTAAAATAAAATTGATGTTTATCTTCAATTGAGAAGAACAGAGAACAGAACAAGGCAAACAATGTTCGATATCAGCCATTTAAGCCACATTGTTTTCACTCTATTTTTGTTTGCCTGCGGAAAGTGCCAGACTCGATGGTTGGCCCGCTTTGGTATTGCTCGGGGCATGTCAAATGTCAACCGCCATTTTATACAATTTTAAATGGAGGGCAAAAAATTGGTGAAACAAATTGAACAGCATTTTTCAGCTGTCAGCAGTTTAAGTTGATGTAACAAGCAGCCCTGGCAGCCAAGTAGCCCCCAGTCGCAAACATCCCCTAGCGTCATTTTTTTCTTTTTTTTTTTTAGCGGTTCATTTGACAGCAACGTCAATAATACGCACATAAGTATACAATGTGGGCGGAAAGGGAAGAAGGGCTGGTAGGTTTTATATAGAGACTGGGCTACTCACAGCATTTTTTATGTCGATTTCATAAAGTTTTTGATTTAGCTCTTGGGTCATAAATTGTAACCAGTGCCTTGCCTAATGGCTGCCGGAAGTGTCCTCTGTGCGCAGCGTTTTGCCAGCATTAGGTGCGCCATTATTATTTGGTGTTCGCCATTTTTTTTGCCGTCTTTCTCTGCTCTGATTATGATGCCATTTTTGACACTCGATAAAGTCAATAAACAAAATGGGCACTGGACATTTGATGTGGCTATTTTGTTGCCTCCATTGCTGGGGCGTGTGAGATAAAAGTTGGTTGGTTCAATATTTTAATTGGGGCCTAATTGATCGGACGCTTCGGGTCCTTTGTTGTTTGCGCATGCCGCTCTTTTATTAAACAATCTTTTAATATATTTTTCCTATTGCCCCGTTATATTTTCAGCATATAAAAACTGCGCGGCTTGGCCAATTTATATGATATGGTAAACTCTCACTTATGTTATTTTTAAATGATAAATGGAAAAAAAGTGGCAAGTGGTAAGTCCGTCAACTCGGTTAAATTCAATCAGCCAATAAGTTGCAAACATTTACTTTATTTTAAATAAAAAAAACAGCCTTCACGTGTGAAATATTGACTAAAATGTTGTATGCTATTATTTATAATACGCAACTGAATTAATTTTCATGTGAAATGCATCATTGAGCGCGAAGCATTATTTGAAAAACATGAATTTAATACCAAATATTAGGCAATTCATTTGTTACTGAGCAAATTTTACAGATTAAATTCATATTTTTCTCTCATATTTATAAATTATATTTTTCACTCGTATGACTTTATATACCTTAAAAACTTATTAATTTAATGAAAATATATAAATTTGGTGATTTCGGAAAGTTTAGATATAAAAATCAATATTCTTAAAATATTATTCTATGACCCAATTTTTAACCAGTTTGAGTTTTTGCAAAAAACATTTTTAAATTTAATGGTTATTCAAATAATTTATTGGGTTCTCAAAAATTCTAAATAAAAAAACTAATCTACTTATGTATAAAGCTAACCCGTTTCTGGAAAAGAAAAGTTAAAAGTCATTGTAATACATTTTATAGTCTGGACAATTAGTTTGTTTATGAGAGTCGCTTCTGTTGTATGACTTTCTCGATTTTTGTTTCTTAATATACATTGAAGTTTTAAATAAAATAACATTAATTTGATAATTGCTAAATATACACATACATAAATAATGACAAACATTTAAAATGCTTTAAGCCAAAAAATGTATATAAATAAGAAATTTTCAACATTAAAAGCAGACCAGGGCGTGCATACTTGAAATTTTTGTTTTGTGTCGTGTCGCATTAGAAAAACTAACACGTACTCATACATAGTTTGTATACAATTAGGTTTAATTGTGGCTAGCAGAGCTCGGGCATGCACAAGGGAGTTTTGATTAATGAAACGTGATGCATTAACCTTGATTACTGATTAGAATCTGTACTCGCATTGGTCAGGAAAATTATGTATTTATTTAGAAACATATAAAATGCGAAACTATATATATTTCAAATTATTATGATACTCAAGTAGGCATTAAATTGAACGCAAACAAACAAAAATAGCATTGGAAAATGGCGCCCAGCACAAAATGTCTGAATAGCTGTAAAAGGGCAACAAAATGGTTGCCTGCGGCATTTTTTTTTTAAATTCAAGTCTGTTGCTGACTTGCTTTGTGCGCGTGTGTGTTTTTCTTGTTTTTTAGCTGGTGTGCCCCATTTAAATGTAGTTTGTTGAACTTTCGCTGTGCAATTTGTATTACTAATGCCAACGGCAAACAAAGGCAAGCCAAAAGCCAAGAGCTGCTTCAAGCTTAAAGCGAGCCAATGAGTCGAATGATTTGGCCAATTGAAATGCTGCAGCAGCAGTTGCCGCAGCAGTTGCAGCAGCAGTTGCCGCCAGATGCTAGCAATAATTCACTTTTGGATAGCTGAGCATCGGCAGGAGTAAAAATCTAGAGCGAGCAATAAGACCTACAGCAATGGATTAAATATGCAATACGAGTCCGAGTCCCCGTCCTGGTCATAGTCTGAGCTCAGGAAGAGGTTGAGTTATGGAGGCAGCTTCAACTTCAAGTTGAATGCATGTTGTCAACAGAAACTGCACGAGAAACTTGCCTGAAATGCGTCCATGTGTAAAAATGCTATTGTTTTGTGTTTGGCCGTTAACAAAGCAACGAACCTAACGGAACATAAGAGAAACTTCTTTCCTGCTGTTAAAAACTAGGCAAAAAGGTTAAAATCAGTCAGTGTAAAGCGGAAAAAACAACGACAACAACAACAAAAAACATTTCTCAACACTTGGCGTACATTTTACCAGCAGCAGCAGCAATGGACTTCAATGGTCGGAAGATCCTTTCAGCCTTCGTCTTTTTTTTGTGTAGTACCTGCTAAAGTGCTATTGGGTTCGCTTTTGCGTTCTCACGTATTTAGACTGTAGTGGGGCGTGGCTGTTAAAATAAAGACGTAGTGGGCGAAAAAACAAACTTAAGAAAGCCCCAAAACAAAAATGTGGCACAAGTAACAGAAAATGTTGCAACTGAACTTGATTGACTTGAAGCTATCTCGTTTTGAAATTAAAATGTTCATTAACAATATTTTTTTATATAAACTACTTATCGCTAATATTAGAATTTTAATAATATATATATAGATTGGAATAATATAATATTATTATTAAAAGTTTGTTTTAAAAAACTTTAATATTTCAAAAACTCAACCAGATTTGTGTGGCCTAAGCAGTGTATATCTAAGATTAAAACCCTTCTGTTTTGACAACAGGGCATTTAAAGTTGGTTTTTGTAATTTGAATGCATAAAGTTTTGCTAAGGCTTGGCCAGCCGTTCTGTTGTGGCAGGGGCGTGGCAATAACAAGTCATAAAATACACAGTATAACAAAGCAAACAGAATGCAGAGGACAGTCGGGTGGGACAATGTCCACAGACAGCAGCTGGTACAGTTGAGTGCACAAAATGCCCACAAAATGGTTGACTTCTATCTATTGTATGCTGTTATAGTTGTAGTTGTTGCTGTTGCTTGCTTCCGGTTTCATAGCAGTCGCATTTTTGGCATGTGTCACCATAGCAAAAGGCATCCAAAATCTTCACACCACAATTGCATTGGGATATGAAAATGCTTTCGTGTTCGTTTTCATCCGGCCACAATGGAGAAATGCATTTTCACAAATTCCATTTCTGTGAGTTTAAAAAAAAAAATTCTTTGAAAGCCATCCAGTTGCGAATTACCAGTTGCCAGCTACAACAATGCCAACCATTAATAATACAAAATGGCTGCACAAATTGAGCATCGCAAAGTCTTTCCTCTGAGCAGTGAGCCCCAAAACTGGCCTATAAATTATTACTCTAAAAAATCTGTGCACACTTGTGTGGCGCAGTTTATAAACTGTCCGTTAAATAAAAAGTAGAACAAACTAAAGAGAACAGCAGAGAGCAAAACAATGTTAAACTTTTTGACAAACTGCTTGCAAAAAACAATAAATATATAGAGCATTCAGTATAACAAAAGAAAAGTTAAAATAATAGAATTAAAAAGCGAAGCACATTTGCGCCCTAACTATAAATGTAGTTTCTAAATTTACGATGAGAAAACTAGCAAAAGGAATTTAATAAGGAAATGGTTGGACTGACTAGATTTAATTCAATACTTCCTCAATTATTATGATGGATGCAGTAAGAAGAAAATTCTAAAAGGGAATCTCAATTGCCTTAACATATTTTTATTGTACAATACTTTCGATGTCATCTTTTAAAAGGTCGACATACTTTTATATATACACAATACTCAAAGAAGAAGCATGGTAAGAACAGAAGAAAGATAGAGGAGAGTAATAGACATCGAGAAAGAGTGCAAGGGATTAAATTGGAGGTGCAGGTGAAAATATGGACTACGTATAACCTGATAATAAGCATG